GACAGAGAGACAAAGAGACAGAGAGATGGAGACAAACAGAGACACAGACAGAGACAGAGACAGCTCGACACACAGACAGAGCTTATATACATATATATATATATACGTATGTATGTATGCGTATGTATGTATATATGGATATGCATACCTGTAAATAAATAAATAAATATATATGTATATATGTATATATGTAATATTCGATATTATGTGTATATATATATATATCATACAGCCTGAAGCCGTTGTCAAAGGCCTGGTGTCCGCTGAGCAAAGTCGAAGCGCCTCGGCAGATTTTTGCGGTGTATCGCGGGGTAAGGCTTGCCGGCCGGGCCCGGGCGGGAAGATTCGGCACCGACCGAGGAATGTGTGTAATTCGCCACCTTGCACAAGGATTTTCGCAAGGTGTTGAAGAAGCTTTTCACAAGCGAACACTTGATCTGCTGACATGGTGTTCGGAAAAGATGCAAACGCCGAGACATGCAGCATCATGCAGCGCATGCGTGTGCTGCGCGAGGGCGGCAAAAGACGGTGAGAGGCGATAATGTCCATGCAAGAAATACTCACTCGGTACAGCAGTCACTAGTCCATAGTTTGCTTCCAGCGGTGCACCCCGAAATCAACGTTCGGAGTCTGCTACTGTGGCACCTGAAACAGTACTGGGGCCAGCCACAACCCTGAGGCGGTAACATCTCGGAGGCATGGCAGCCGTCTCATCACCTGCAACTTGGACAGAAAGGATTTTCACCTAGTCCCTGGCCCTAGCCACTGCGCAGTTGTTCTCAGTTGCTAGCGGGTGTCAGGCACTACGACAGTCGAATTCTGGACATCCAGGACGACCTCGTCAAATATCGTGGGCGGGCACGCGGCGAAGTGTGGATGCCTGCAGAAGAAAAGATCGCTTTTTCGAAGTTGTTGCAGCTTTGGGCCGCCCTGGGGTCATCCGAAGAGTCAGGCCAGTCAGGCCTTGCAAAATATGTGCTGAGCATTCTCAAACTTGATGATCTAAAGCGTCTTTCGGAAATCGTCACTCAGAGCAGTCTTCTTCCAAACGCTGTGGGCGACGGCAAGTTGTCCACACAAGCACTGAGCCACCATTGCTTCGCTCTTGATTACGGCCCCGAGGGCACGATGAGCCCAGCCATACACATCGAGAGACCTAGTAACTCTAGTACGCAAGCTGACAAGTGCCATTGACGAGTGCCAGGTCAGGTTGCCAAAGTGGCTCCGGCACCGACGCCTGGGCCGTCGTCGCCCTCGGGCGCGGCGGGAGCCGCGCCGGGACCCGTGGCCGTGGCCACACAGCCGAATGTCGAGGCGGGGCCGCTTCGTGGCCTTTGCCATTGCTTTCTGCATGCTCACAGGTTTCAGCCCTCTTGGCTGGTCATGCGGCAGCCGCTGGCCATGTAAGAGCCTTGACGTTCAATGTTGCACAGCGGTAGATCTCATGTTGGATCGGTGCAAGCGTGGCGAGCCGCTGTGAAGGCGGTGACCTACACCACGACGACGACCACCACCACTGCTGTGACGATTAATGGAGTACGGACCCTTGAACTGGATGGTCCGTGGATGACCGTATTTCGTTCCCTCATGACTCCCTGTGCAAGGCAGCACCTGGCTTCCCAACGCCGCCCGGACCTCACTTATGGTTGTTGTCATGCGAAGAAACCGCGTTCTTCTCTGCCGTCTTTGTCTCGTCTCAGACCACCGCCTACTGGACCAGCGATCGAGTACCGGCCGCCGTCTCCACAGCCGCAGGTTCGGCCGGAGGGCCCCCTTTTCTCTTCGATTTACATGGGCTCTCGGATGAGGCCAACGGGCACGCAGCAAACGGGACAGAGGGTGGCAGCACTCAAGACAGCAAGGCGTTGTGTGGCCCCAAGAGTTGAGCTTTGCTTCTCTGGTCTTGTTCTTGCTGCCATGCAGGATTTGTAAGGCTGAATATGCTGGAGCCAATCAGTCCATCACAGCTGCTGTTGCAGACGCTGCAGGTCGCCAGCAGCCCCCCGACACCACATTTCGACATGTTTACAGGTCAAGCATTATTGCCCATGGTGTTGCTACCTCTCATTTTACGTTCGACTTCACTGCAATGCCCAAGGCCAGCCCCGGCCGCCGAGCCTACGGATCAGGATAGACTTGCCATGGCCAGGAGCTCAAAGAGCTTTTGGCCGATTCAGTTTCGAACTCGTTGACCTAGCCATGGCTGCCTGAGTTCACTGGTGCATAGTGGCTCGGAGCTGTGCCTTCGTATATTCACCGTTTGACGCACAGATCTGTTTGGCCGAGCCCAGCCGAACCCTAAGTTCTAAACCTCGCCAGATCGCCTCAAAATGGGGTGATCCCCTTGTAGTTTGTAACAAACTACTCACATGCTGTGGCCATCAACTCCTGTACTGTGTATCATATATGGAGTTTGCGACTTGATGACATGTCTACGAACCGGTTTTATAGGGGGTTGTTCGGGCTAGTCGATGGACGTCGTCAAGTTAGCGGGCCTGGTGAGTCCTACGTGCTGTACTCCTGCTCCTTAGCCTAATCGGTCTGTTCCAGTATGAGTACGGTTACCTGGGACTTGCCGCGCTTTTGCTCTTACAGTCAATCGTCGTCTCGGAGCCTGGGTTTTCCCTGCAGTGCGACCTAGTCAGCGAAGCGGGTGGGAAAAAAACCTCGCCAGGCCTGTTCCCAGCTGTAAGTGCTGAAACCCTAGGCCCTAGAGAGTCCAAGCCCTGTGAGCGCCGAAACCCCAAACCGTTCAGCGACGCATCGCAGCAAAGGTGGCCGCGAGGAAGCTGAACGCCGGCATCCCTCGGGCTGGGGCCCGCGAGAAATCCGTCGTAGCTATTGCATTATTGCTTATAGACTTATGGTATACAGTTTTAATATAGCAAGAGTACTTACTGTACTAAATAGAATGTAGTACAGCATATAGTTATTTTAGTGTACTATATAATGAAATAGTGTTATAGTATATTATAGAAGCGACGTCTTTGGTTCGGGCGCTGCTCTTTTCTGTGTAGACAAGGCGGGCATCGTTGGGCAACTGGGCTGACTTCTTGAAGAGCATGGGAAGTTCGAAAACACGAAGCATTCGTCGTCGTCCGAGAAAACTAGAAAGAAAACCACGGCAAAGGCGACGGATAGAACATGTGTTCCAGCTGTGGCTGTAACTTTGGCTCTGAGGCTGGACCTCTACCGCTCCAGTGGAACACCAGCTGCGCGACAGGAGCCCAGATTGCGATTGCACTTCGACAGCCGCGCATCGTCTTGTTACATGCTTTGTCGCCTTGCCTGGAGCCTGGAGCTTGTAAACTCTGCTCTATCCCAGGCGCGACGTGCGCGTGAGGGGTTCCTGGGATGGCTGGAAGCGCGACTACGCGTTGGAGCAGCTGCCTCAAATCACCACGCCGATTGCGCGGTTGCCTAATTCAGCTTCCCGTGTTTAATTTGGCGCGGTGTCACTCAATGCGATTTCACGACCGATTCTCCTATGCGGAACGCCCTTCCAGAGATGCTGAAAGGTCCCACCTCCTGTAAACTCTTCTCGACTCGCACACTGAGGCCCTGTCCTGGAGTTGGGTTCCGGATTATGCCGTGATCCCATTGTACCCTTCAGCATCCGCTTTTCTCCTTCCTCGGCTCTTGAGGCTTCTCCTTCCTGCCGGTGAGCCGAAGCCCTAGCTGCCTTAGTGCCTTAGTTCAGCAAGTCATGATGCCGAGCCTTGCTGCACAATGCTGGCGGAGTGATTTGAACGCTGATCAGACCGTGGCAACTGGTGCTTCTCATTCGACTCTTCTTTGTCTGGCCAAGGTACGAGTTCAAGTTCATAGTGGACGGCAACTGGACGACCTCGGAGGACATGGAGACTACAAAGTGTGCCAACAGGCCTTGAGCACATCTCATTTTGTTGAGAGCACCCCCTGTGAAACGACTAACAAGCCCTGCAGATGCCAGACAAGAAGGAATCTCCTACCAAGATCTTCTGCTGTGCTCGTCTCTTGGAAGGGCCCGCCTGTGTTTGAATCACCATCGAAACCAAGCCTGGACAGGAACAATGTGGCACAAGTCAATGAGATGGTGGCTGCCTTGGCATGCAATCAGAAAGCGTCTCCTACTGTTCCGCAAGTTGTGCATCGACTGCAACTTCGGAATCCTTCGGAAGTAGAACAACGATAGTGGGGCTGTAAGTCTTGGCACATGCGCAGTGTGTGCCCGGGCACTGCAGGTGCTTGTGCCGGTGCCGCAAGGAACTGAGCACCTCAGTTTGGGAAGATGGACAGCAGTGCCAGTGCAGGGTTGAAGGTCAGCGGCACCTCGGTGATTCTCCGGAGTGGGAACGAGTGAATGTAGGTAGTTGCACTGCACTTGCCATGCCAGGTGCTTCAGATAAAATTAGTAAACCTTTGCGACCTCGGCCTTTTCGCATTCGGAGGCTGTGGAAGTCGGACACAAACGACGGAAACAAGCCGGCGGCGGGTGAATTAGAGGTTGCAGCCTGCGGGTTCAGCGACAATGGGGGAAGGGAAGGGTGTTGTACTTCGCCCATCTTCGCCAGGCTGGAACTTTGGCCATCGTCCCCGCCTTGGTGCTTTGCACGTCTTTTGTGCAGAGCGGGCTTGCTCATGGTTGCGATTACAAGGAGGCCTGATTTCTGATGGGAGCCAAGACCCCGCTTGCCGGGCCTTGCCCTGAGTGCTCGGAGCTCATGCCTGCACTGGCCACTCCCGACTGGCTGGCGATCTTTGAGGCGTCACAGGTGCGCCGCAGAGGAATTCGGTGAGCGGGGCGATCGCCTTGTGAAGTCGGTAGTTTCGATCTCCTGGATGGCCTTTGCACCCAGGATGCTCTGGGACACCGTCAGTACGCCAGCGCCAGCCAAGTGCGTCGTTTTCCAATCGTTTCACCTCCTGTCGCATTGGAGGCGTCGTTGGCGGTCACAGGAAGATTAGAACCCCCGAGAACTCTCTACATGGGCAGAGCCTTCGAGTCAACAGCCTGGTGCATTCCGCGACTGTCCGGTCCGCCGGAGACACCGGGAGTGCCGCGGTGGTTTTATGTACAGCTGCTGGAGGCCCTTTGCTCGGGATGCCCTCCTTGCATTTGCGGGACTCCTGGCTGAGCCATCGCTTAGTAACTCTTTTCAAGTTTAGCGTCAGCTAGAGTTGGAGGAGCAATGCGCGTTTCGAAAGAAGGGCCCCCAACAAAGTTTCGGAATCCACAAAGGACTAACCATGAACAAACGCTTGGTGAAGAGCCCGCGGCTCTTTGTGGCGTTCATCGTGCGGCAAGAGCAGCTATGTTGGTCACACTAGCAGTAGGAGCAGTAGCACTAGCAGTATCAGTAGTAGTAATAGTAGTCGTAGGTCTTCGTAGGAGTAGGAGTAGTAGTAGTAGTAGTAGTAGTAGCAGTATCAGTAGTAAAAAAAGTAGTAAAAGTAGTAGTAGCAGTAGTAGTAGTAGTAGTAATAGTAGTAGTAGTAGTAGTAGTAGTAGTAGCAGTAGCAGCAGCAGCAGCAGCAGCAGCAGCAGTAGTGGTAATAGTAGTAGTACTAATAGTAATAGCAGCAGCAACTGCAGCAGCAGTAGCAGTGGCAGTAGCAGTGGTGCTAGTAGTAGTAGTAGTAGTAGTAGTAGTAGTAGTAGTAGTAAGTAGTAGTAAGTAGTAGTAGTAAGTATAAGTAGTAGTAGTAGTAGTAGTAGTAGTAGTAGTAGTAGTAGGTAGTAGTA